AGGCAAACGAACAGGAAGAAGTATATTTCTAATTTATCTTTTTTTGGAAATAAAATTTTAGACAGACATGAAAAGGATGTTGCTGTACAATATTTATCTATAGACTTTTTTAAACTGGAAACTATGCGATTCCCCTGAGAACATAGTTTGTGAAATATTGATGATTCCCTACGGTCTGCTTCAATATTTTCGAAGAAAGAAAATGATGTGGAAGAAAAAGCAGAAAGGGTTATTGACTTCTTCGTTGTATCGTGCAAATATAACGATGACGAAATATTATTAAGAGTCGCATGACGCCGCATATATTTATGATTCTCAGAATTTTCCTTTCAAAGCTCAGTAGCAGATGGATAATTATCTTTTGAAATTCATTCTATAATTAACTTAATAGATCGCTTATCGATTCGGATCCAGAATTGATTATAAATACATTGAAGCATTATCATTAGCCGGATCTATTTAACAACTCGTAAAAGACAACGACGCAAAGGTATAAATTATTTTCGCCCGCGCCAACAACGGATGTACTTCGCATATATATACGACAGAAGCGAGCAGGGAGATATGACTCCGAATGGAATTCCTTATCGCGCGTCGCAACACTCTCTTGCTTAACGCGAATATCCACGGAATTATCGCGAGGTTGTCGCTTAGATTATAAACGACGCGTACGACATGCGACAGAGCATCGGGTGCAGCAGCACGCGCGTTATTCGCGCGCGGTGCTCGTTGCACACGCAAGAGAGAGTTCACTATCTCTCACTCAATTTAAGCCTCATCCGCCGTAAGCGGATCGACCAAGCTGGCCTTTTAACGTCGGATAGTCTCGTCTCTCCCGGCTGCGCGCGGCATAGACGCCTATAACAAACATTATCCGCCATAATGCCCCCGTGTAAACATACCTACCTACGTGGTGCATCAGTCTCTCCTCTCCTCTCGCCGCGTCTAGCCCCTTTCCGCCCAAATAAAAACGCGCCTCCAAGTTTATTTAACCGTTTAGCGCCGAGTTAAGTTTCACACGGCTAAGCCGACTTTTCGGCACGCTTCCCATCGCGTGGCTACTTCCGCTCAACACGTGACGCCGTCAATTTGCAACATCTCCAAAACGACGAGATGCTCGCGCATATTTCTCTTCGTGCATTCCAGATGACGCATGGAGCAAAAAATGAATGAACCAATCGAGGCCGAGCAAATAGTTTTATTTTTATGATATCTTGCTTGCATATGTGCTCTTGTATCGCTGATTAGTGTATTTTTTTATTTTTTTATCCAAATTGTATAACAAAAATTATTACGAACCATTCATACGTTTGTTATTCATTCCTATATCGGATGAATTTTACAATAAGATAATTCGCGTGGGGCCTTGAATCTGTACGATTGTCTGTTTCGATTTTGTGAATTTCGTGCGGGGCCTTTCGCTCAGAAAGGGCCATGAACGAATAACCATTCGTGCGAATTTCCCCCACTGTTGATCACTCCCCACTCTCGTTTTTCGAGAAGGTATTATGGAAAACTATTTAGTGTCAGGCAGGTAGGGAGAAGACACAGTCGCTACAGAAAAGGATCGACTATAGCAGTAGGTTACGCGCTTTAGGGACGGTGGTCTCGAATGCGAGGATGATACATTCGTAGATCGTCGCAAATTCTAAGTCGCGATTCTCGATAAGCTGTGTGTAGTGTGTAGATATCTTTGTGAAGAAATCTGTGTCACATTTTTGTAATCAGTGAATAGTAATTGTGATCTTACTAGAGAAGAAGTTCGGAATTAAAGATGAAAGCGAGTCTATTATTTATTTATTGCTATGCTACTTGCTGCGTGTGATGGCGTATCAAGAGATACGACTGTGTCCTTTGATTAAAGGTATTATAAAAGAGTTGGATTTTTTTACACGACGTAATGTGCCATAATACAGATAGATCAAGCTACTGTGCATACTGTGTGAGTAGTTCATTAATTATATTCACAGACCGAGTATTTCTGTATTTGTCGAATTTGTCTGTTTTTCATTTATAAAAGATATTCAGGGATATGAAAGGCTGCTCTTTCTTTCTCGAATTTTTGTTCTCAGTGCGCGTCGAAACGTAAAAGCCTTTTAGCCCCTAGTTTCTTACAAAAAATTAATAGCGATTTCTGACAATTTAGAAAACGAGTAACAAAACACTTGTCCAAAACTTAGATTGACATTTTGTCGTTGATACTATAGATCGACGAATTCAGAATTATATAAATAACTAATAAATTGCTGATAAATTACACTGTATAAGCATTGAATGAATTGACGTATACATGAAACTAATGTTTATGTTATTACTAGGTCACACTGTTCAAATAATTTTGAATGTATAATTTAAAGAGAAAACATCATTCTCATATATATAACATGGTAACAGAATTTTGATGAAGGTAATTCCACTTTTTCAAAATTTGGAAAACTGATTAGAATTTCCGTGATGAAGCTTCCTGAAGAGTTCTAAAATTTTAGATTAGTTTTAGAAAGAACTCTTTAGTTTAGACTAATGAAAATAATGGGAGACAACAGCGTTTCCCACTTTTTTTAAATTACGATTTTTTTTAGAGTTTTGAAATCTTGGATAATATTCCATAACTTTCGTTAAATTTCTAAAATTTTCTACCCAGATTTTATTCTGCGAAAACCTAAACAAAATTTCAAACAAAAACTGAATAAATTTCAAATAATCGCGGGCTAGTAAACTGAATAATTCTGCCAAAATTTTTTATTCCTAAATTGAGGGGTAATTAGTCTAAATCTTTAGAGAGTTTATTCATCACTAATAGGAGAACAAATTTAATAGTCTAATTATTATCCAGGAACAATAAAATCAGAATCGCAGAAGCGATAATTACGTGAAATATGTCTAAACATTCATTCATTTACAGGTGGAGGAGTGTCGGTGCGGCAGCGTGTCGGTACCGGAAGAACCGGCGCCGATACTAGCGGAAAACGGCGCGAGGCGGCCATCATTACACGCGAACAGCGTCGCCGCTCATCGAGAGGAGAACAGCTGGTGGCCGGCCGAGCAGGGCGGAGGGGGTCACGCGATAAGGGAGCGTGATAATAGCGCCGCGGTGGCGGGTGAGCTGGCTTGCCTCGCGGGATACATGGCGGGTTACCTGAAGGCGGCAGGCGCAACCTGCGCCTCGACCGGAAACCCTCATCAATACCACCCACACGGGCATCCCGCCATGGGGGTTGGCACCCATCCGCATCCGCATTCTCACCCGCACCCGGGTACGCCGCATCCCGGTCTGCCGTCGCCCTTTGCCCTCGCGACACACGGCCATCCGCATCCACATCCGCTTGAGCATGGACTGGCATTTCCACAAGGTAAATTTTTCGAATTTTCTCTTAACGTGAATTCATATTTCGATGTTGCAGTATCGCTCAATCAGCTGGATTAATTAATCCAGCAATAATATTCATAAAGCTAGAGTTTTGCAGAAAAAATAAGCAATATAGTATTTTTATCTTTAATAAGTTGATCTGTTTATCTTTTTTGATACAAATCTGGTATTATATAAAAATTTCTCATTTTCGTTAAGTGCTAATAATTATTAATAAAATGTTAAATATTAAAATTTCACTTATGCGGTACTGTTTCTGGAATGATGATATAATCTTTACATTTCTTTGAGACAATTTAATATTAGGTATATCTTTTCGTTTTTATATAGCATCGAAAATTGAATTCATTAAGACATTAAGATTATACCAATACCAATCATTGCGTAAAAGTCTGAGATTTTATTCAGACATTGAAAGAGT